AGGACGAGCATCTCCCGCTGGCTGTTATCCAATACTACTCTCATGGATCAGAAAGTGTTGTTGTCGCTAGCAACATGGAAGTTACTGAAGGAGATCGGACCTCAGAGCAAGCTGTGGATTCTCCATCAGTGGCTCGGGGTAGTCTGCGGGATGTGCAACTATACCGTCAACAACAGGATGATATAGCGGTCGAGATACGGCTAAGTACGGCTGCAACAGAGGAGGTTGCTACTCGAGAACAGCGAGGATTCCGTAAATCTGTGAAGTTGGAAGTTGGCAGGAAGAGCACTCTTAAACCTGCTCAGAGGAAGCTACTTGATGGTATAATAGGAGGATTCATGGCTCCTAGACCTCAGTCTATAGAGGGAAAGCCAGTGTTAAAGAGAAAGTCCGGTGCTTTCAAGCCGTTGGGTAAGGTGGGTGCTGGGAGGCGATCAGTCAACAGCAGACCTAGTCTATACAAAGCATGATCTCCATACGTTATCTGGGACTTAGCGTCACTCGTTGTACCAATTGACACAACTGTTGTGTTGGAGTAATATAGCATCGAAGGAGAGTATGGGGGGGTCCATCGCGATGACCTCAGCTGAGTGGTCGACTTCCTCTCTATCTCAGAGTCTTTGTTGGCGATGATCGACTGCTTATTCCTGCTGAATCTATATGGGTATGAGTGAATACCCTCAACTGAGCGAAAGTAACTTCTTCTCAGTGAGGAGATCACATCGAAGGTGTGTCGTCGTCACCATTCACTGAGAGGATACAGGAAACTGCTCCATGCACTGTTCACCAGACGGGATAAGACTCCAACAAGCCTCTACGGTGTAGTGCCTAAGGTACTCGGTTGAGAGTATTTATACCACAATTCGCGATTATCAGAGTCGTACCAACTCCACATCTGCATTGATCTACATATATAGAGAGTACATTTACCTGGCAGCCATAGTTAGTAGTATCCATGCAAATGTGCATCATATGTCCCCGCCATCTTGTTGGACCATCTCGAGGTTCTGATACGTCCCCTCTACTCATATTCGAATTGCTAGACTCGGTCTACTCGACCTTACTACACTACTGCTCAGCAGCATCGACTAAGGCTACTGCAGGTTTGGTCCACTCTTGATCATGGTGTAGTTGGGAACTCTACTACAGATCTTGCTCATACTGGGGTAGATGAGGATCTCTTGCGTGACAACTTCAGTACCGTGGCCATGCTCTTGGATGAGATGATTGATGGTCCCGGCCTACCCTTCTCAACTCATAAGGCAACTCTGGAGGTAGTCTCCAAGCCCTTAGTCCCTCCGATAGAACCTCTATAGGCGATGCTACCACCTCCTACAATGCTAGGCAAGTTCATCGCAGCAGTAGCAGGGACGTCGGCCAAGATGGCCACTGATCGTCAACAGGCCGTAGCACTCCCTTCTGCTAACCTTAGTCTTGGTGTTCGTAAGTTCCCCTACTTTACTGGTCTCGTCGTGATGTTCAGTGTCAGCACCCTCGGGCTCTCCTGCTCCTAACTTCCTTACTTCTGCTGTATCCACTATGATGACTGGAGTCACCAACGCTATGGCTGTATCATCGGGTGCATTAGCCCAAGTCTCTCAGAAGGAAGCTACAATCGACATAGGTGACCATGGCCGACATACATCATGTGTCGATAACACCACAGCGACTCATGGTAGGTGGCCAGTATTGGTGGCGTCCCACCCCTCCTAGCTACACTACCAACGAGCTCTATATGGATGTGGTAGAGACTATCAACTGTATAGTAGATGAAGGGGGAACTATCCTCGATGCTGATGTGGTAGTAGGAGTAGTAACGATGCTACATCCATCTACTGCATGCATCACAGACCGGGGATATATCAGTGATATCCCGACTCAGTGGTCCATGCCCTCACGCATTACTCACTGTCCGCAACCCTCATCTCTTTTCTAACGGTATGCTACTACGCATTCACTGCCACCGTCATGTTCACCACAGGCAAGGTCAAATTCCATCCATGTGTCGATGTAGAGAGATGGCATGAGGAACAGAAGATGTCATTCGTCCCTGCTGATGGGCAATACTCCCTCTGCACCTACTACATCCCAATACTAGCCGATCCCTCAACTCGTCTACTGCCCTTACAGCTCGATCTCAAGGCAGCACCTTGTCCGCCTATATGTTACTCACTGATGGGGATCTCTCACAGGTTTCATTTGATAGAGGTGGCGGCCATATAGACTTCACAGCTCGACCACGAGTATCGGCTGTTCTGAGCTCCAAAGCAGGTCTTAATGGGCATTCTGGTGAGTACCGCGGCTGTAGCGTGCATCGCTGCAGCAGTAGTAGTGCAATCAGGTAGGATGCAGAATCATCGTCCCCCAAGTATAGTTGTTGATGATGTCGTTGTGAGTATCCTACTCCCAACGTGTATAGCCTCTGGTAGCTTACAAACCACTGTGAAGAGCCATATTGATGGCAAGGTGAATACACAAGACCATCGTCCGTCTTGGGCAGCATGCCTTATCATCAGGTCTCACCATCCATCCGTCTCGATACTGCTTCCGACGGTGGTACTGTGCTCATCTGGCACGTAGGGCAACTTGCATCTAACGCTACCAGCGGGGAGGTACCCTTCCTGTTCTCGGACCCATGGCCACTCAGTGTCGGCTCAGGACACTATCGTGGTCGCTAGTGGTAAACTATCGTATGATGCTCATGATGCAGCTCTGGCGGCGGCTATGGCCAGTGAGCAACGATGCATGTACTTCTCATAGCAGAGTGCGCTTCTACATACGTGCCCTTCAGAGCTCAGGTGGGGTTCACTGTCCGAGGATGGTGTATCAGCGGCCTACGACTGGATGGTCTTGAGGTATCGTCCACCAAAAGGGTATATACCTCGAAAGGGCTGCCGCTACTCTACAGTGGCAGGTTTGGTGGATTTCCGTGTACCATGAACCCAGTGTCTTGTCAGCATTTCCAGCATTCATGCTGGCTTTCCATCATTGCTCAGGTCGAGTTAGTGCAAAATGTGAGTCGGGCAGATTGGCCCTATTTCATTGGGGAGTGTGTCGGTCATTGTCATCACGAGGGCAACTCGTTGTTGTGATAGGAGGCCCCCGATCCTCTTCGGGTTCCGGTGCCCGCGTTCGATCCTGTTACCCGGTTAGTGCTTGTCTTATGACCTTTCCCCACCTCATCTAGAGGTTCCTTGAATGTCGCTGTGCTACTCGCCAATACACAGCGATGAAGAAGATGATGATGATAATGCCGCATACGAGAGTACTGGAGTGCCCCTTCCCCAACCATCGATCCTATCAACGAACTCCCCATTCGTCCTTCGTCCTGATCCCTATGCACCGGATCTTGCCTCCCTCTTCCGACCCAATGATGACACTCCAGTATGTGTCGTACAGCATCCATACAGCTCCCTCAATACAAAGATAACCCACGCTTCCGTGGTGGAGGATGATGATGAATCAGAGCCTACCTATCTATTTCTAGGATACGACTCCGGTAAATAGTACACCACCTGTACTCCTATGGATCACTCCTTCTACAGGTTTCGACCCGGACTCAAAGAATGCCCGTCACAGCCAGACATATAACGCAGATGCAATACTTGCCTGGGACTGCTGCACAGGAAAGGTAGTAGAAGCATTGTATAGCCATCCTGATTCATTGCCATTCTATTATGTAGGTTATCGATTCTCTAGCCATCCCGGGTGCATCTTGTATGTATGTGCGTGCAAGCTCCTCTGGTATGGTTGCCGCTACTACGATATACGAGCGAGTGAAGGCACGCAGAAGAGGTGTATTCTTCCGTCCACTGACTACTATATACGTCTACGTATACGCTGACCAGCGATACCATCAACTCAAGTCCATAGCCCCTCGTGGATACAGGAGTAGCCCTGTCGCCGTAGTTGCAGACTCTACGTAGTTCGCTTACCGCGTTGAGGCTTCGTTATTCGCTTTCATGCAGATGTGCACGATTCATGGTCATCTTAACAAAGAACGGCAGACTGCTCCATCAGCACCTCCTAGGCCCCAGCATATCCACTGAGGTAACTGCTCTAAAGGATGGTCCTGGGCCAGATGGTGCCGAGCTGGCCCTCCTTACTGATGACATGACCGGGATACTCCTAGAGCGCTCACGACCTCGAATCGTGGTCTTCATTGCAGAAGGTGGGTAGGTGAACCTATCCCTCGGCTCACTCCTAACATATTTAGCCCGTCACGGTGTTGAAGTACTACAACAAGTGGATCTACGTAAAGTGATGGAGGCTTCTGGGCAGAACTTCTCCCGACTGCTCTCCTCTGGAGCTCTCTTGCCTCATTTTGGTGGTGAAGGCTTCGCTGTTCTATGGAAGAATAACTATGTCTACTTCGACATGTATTCGGATATAGAGGGCATCAAACGTACGTTGTATCCGCACTTTCACATGTTTACCTCACATCTAGGTGCAAGGCCTAAGAGCCGTACAATAGCGTCATTGAAGCGTCCTTCGGGGATCGACATCATTGCTGCTGTACCTACTACTGTTCACTGGCTAGCTTTGTAAGTTATCTGCAGCCTGTTGACCTCGAAGGACTGTTAAACCACTTTCAGACAGCTGAGCGACGATCGACTCCTGTGGAGGTGGTGGAGCCCTGGGGAGGTAAGCAGCAGTGAGCATGGTTCGTATGTCCTGATCGATTGGCAGCAGACTCTTATCAAGGAAGAGCCGGAAACTACAGAAAGGGCTGTGAAGGAAGAGCCGGCAGCAGGAGAGGTTCAAATGGCAGTAGTCAAGGCTGAGCCTTTATCCGGACCCATGGATTCCAATGGGGAGGAGGAGGAGGAAGAGCCAGACTATGACGGGGCCCTTCGAGATGACGAGAAGGGAGTCGTAGGTGTATGTTAGAGGGAGGCTGATAATAAACGTTGTTGCTCACCTTAGGAGGTCATATCATTATCCGACTCTGTTGACGACGGTTATGATAGTGATATCGAAATCATAGGGTCCGTCGCAGTCGTTGATCTCGGTAGTAGTAGCAACATTCCCTATCGTAGCTCCTTTCTATCGTGACTCTGTCAGATGCTGTGGAGGGAGGTGTAGCAGTAGAGGCGCCATGGGGAGGTACGGCCATGTACAACGAGGATGAGAATGGTGTGGTATTACTTGATGATGATTTGGAAGATGATAGAGCTGCAACATCTGGTGGGCTCCACTTCCTACATTACTTACATTGGACACACTCTTGATAGACCTCCTCTCCACTGTTAATGCAGCAACTGACCAGGGTGCCGCCACAAGAGCCGACCCAATAAGTAAGTACCGTGGAGGCGGTCTTTCACCCCCTCGAAGGTCCCTCCTCAGATGCTGCCACTTTGGAACTCCCTCCGGATGCGAGGACTCGATGTAAGCCTCCGATAATCGACATCATCAACCTACTGTGTTGCCCATCGTGTAGATGCACCTGGTAAAAGCATCGAGTTCAGCCCTTTATCTGTGTCCACCTCGGCGAGTACAGCAGATGAGCATGCTAGGGAGCTGTGGGAACGGGCTAAGGCAGATGAGGCTATGGCCAGCGACGAGATTGAAGCACAGGATTGGTGACGACATCATTGCCTCGAAATCAAAATCAATTTGGTCTTTATGCAGGGCTGCCGTACATTGGCCAGATGTATTCGAACAGAACCTTAAGAGGAGGAGGAAGTGCGTGGATAGACTGATATCGGACATCGAGACGAACTGGTCCTCTACTCTGTGTCTCCGTCCGAGGTCAGCAGTCAGCAGAACGCCTCTCAGCGGGGATTCTTATTCGATTAGGATTCCCCGTTATTAGAAGCTGATATCGAAATGGTTGGGAAATGCTT